TATGAAAAGACAATTCCAATCATTCTCTACAAATCGAAATCCTAATATTAGACATTCTAACTGCCGGAAAATGATTTAATTAATTGTTTTCAAAAAATGATATCAAATGCTTGCTCATTATATTATCAGTTTCATAAATTAATCTTTTAATTTACACTGCTAACAAATACAGATGTTGCAAATGCTATTGCATTATACTTCACACTTAACTGTACCAATCGGTTGTTGATCAACAACTACAAAAAATTCTGTTGGTTTAAAAGGGAACAATCTAATTAAATATTCTATTTGATGAATATTCAAACACCCTGCATTAAGGCTATCAAAAATATAAAGTCTTACTCCATCGTAATAAACACAAATCCAATGACCAGAATTGTTATTACCGCTAAAAACTATTTGAATATGTTTATCTCTTTCTCTAATGGGAACAATTAAATCAAGCATTTGTTAATACAAAGTACTTTCTATAATGAAAAAAGAATTTGAATCATTTTTTAATAATTTATTCTAGAAATTTATACATATGCATATCACTTAACATTTCATTTACATTTTTAATAATTTTAAAATCTTCATTACTCAAAATAAAATGTCAACGTATCCTTCTTCAACTTTTAAACTGTTGATAAAGCCAGTTTTCAAAACAAATCGTTTATTTTAGTTTATTGCTTTAAAAAATTTACTTACATTTGTTTCACCTATAAAATATTTCATTAACTATAATTCAGCTAACTAATGCAACAATGATAGTCTTACATGAACGTGAATTAGCGTTGTTTAATCTTTTTCCATATTATATTATTTTCGATAATGATTATTATTTAACATATTTTCCTCTGCACTTTTTATTAATATTCAAATCAATATTCAACTCACAAACTATTATTTAACCCATAAAACAACTTCAACCCTTAAAACAATATTCAAACCTCTTTCAATCTATTTAAATACTTTTCCAAAAGCCAGCATCCTCTATTATCAAACAGTCAATATATTTTTTTTAATATCGAAATATATTCAATACCAATGTTTTGCAGAAAAATATTATAAACTATATAATAATCAAGTTAAGTTAACTGAGACTATTAGGAGCTTTTTTAGCGACACTACTACAATGTTGTTGCAACGGTAGACTTACATCAGCATCTTAAATCAGCAGTAGCCGTTTCACTCCATTGAGGAGAAGTGTTATACGTACGAATTCAACACATCAAATAAATTCTACACAAAAAAATACTGCACCGATAACTGTACACGAGTCAATTCTCAACAAAATTAAATAAAATAATATTCTACACAATTAAATGCATCCGTCCGTCCGTCGTCCGAATAATAAAATTATATACAAATAACTCTTGATCTGAATTTCAAAAGCCACAAAACCCTCAATGTAGGCGATTTGCGCCTGCTTCTTTTCCTGATTTTTCATTACTTATTTCAAAACATAATCTAAAATGTTTTAAATTACAATGAAAAATAATCTTGTTTCAGTTTTTTCGAGATTTTGCTGTCGACAAGGCCGACTGGAAGGTATTTAGTGATACTGCGGTAAAGGACAGTCTTCAGTTAAAGCTAAATAAATTTAAAAGAAATTCAAAGTCATCAATAAAAAAAATTAAATTTGAAAATACAAGATTTGATTTGTACTATTTTACATTATATTATGGCTTATTTAATTATTGATGTTTTATTTATATTTAATATAAAATAAAATGCTTTATTTAAAATTTTAAAAAATATAAATTATAATTATTATTCGAATAAACATTTCTATAGGGATACAGAGTTGAGCAATTCCATGGAATGTGATCACAAGAATTTTTGATGATTGGAGCAATTTTATTGATACCTTGTGATTATGTTCCTTTATTTGTACAAAATGAAAGCCCACAAACAATTTTTCAAAATTTTTTGAGATTCTTGCTGTCCCTTTATGAAAATTGGAGAAGTTATTCTTAACATCATAGGCAATAAGTAGAAAAAAAATTTATTGAAATCGAAGAGGTAGTTTTTTCAAAAAATGAATTCAAAATTTATTTTTGTATTTTTCCCGGGCAAAAAAATTTTTTTTTTCATGAACTATTTTTTTCTTAAAATAGCATCTTTTGTGAGAAATTTGAAAAAAAATTGATCTCATTTGGATAACAAGAAAAAAAGTTACATGTTTTTTTTTAAAAAAAGACATGAATTTTTAATTAGAGATATCTCAAAAAATTTTGAAAATTTTGAAAAATTGTTTGTGGGCTTTCATTCTGTACAAATAAAGAAACATAAGCACAAGGTTTCAATAAAATTGCTCCAATCATCAAAAATTCTTGTGATCACATCCCATGGAATTGCTCAGTTGTATTTTGCATTTCTATTATTAACACCCTCGTTGTCGTTGTCCTCCATAGTGGACAAAAATGCATGCAAAATAAAAAAATTGGCACAAAATGGGATAAAGATACTTTTTTAAAATATGATGATGATTAAATTATTTTGCTTTATTTTTTAATTTTATTTACTTAATTCTAAATACTTTATAAAACTGACTTGGTTATTAACTAAATATTTTATATATAATACGGTATTAAGAAATTTTATGACGAAGTGTTCAATTTTTAAACTTTTCTCGCAGATGTCGATTAGTATTTGTATCCGTACATTCAGTAAACACCTTGTCATTACCTGGTTTTCGATTCTTATTAATTGACATTAATTTCTCAAAAATAATTATCTTCGAATAAACTTTATTATTTAAATTGCCTGGAAAAGTTAACTTGAATTGACCAGGTTACGCATTAGAAAATTTGTGATTTCCTAAGTTATAAAGTTATCTATTTACGGTTAACTTTGCCGAAGAAGATGACTTAAATTGACATTGGGTAGTGTCATCTCCCACAAAATATTAAACAATGAATAGATGTGAATAAATGTGTCTAAATTTTATGGAAAATTTCAACAAAAAAAAAATTTCGGAAATTTTCCCGGGAGACTCCCGATAACTTTTCCACGTGGGTTTAATGGTAAATTTTTAAGCAACGAGATACAAAGGAACATTAATATCCACTATCCTTCTCTATATTATTCCTTAAAAATGTATTGTTTACTTTATACGTTTTGCACTTTCACTGTGTTTCGGCACAATACTAATCCTGTTGCTTCGATAAATGTAGTAGGCGATTACAACTGCCCCGTAAAGGGATGTGTAGGATGATTCGTTTCCTGTTTATCGAAGTAATGAAGCCAGCGTAGGAGCGCTGCCCTGCAGGGGAACGTTAGGATGTGAGAATGATGCCGTAGTGTATCCGACGACGAGTTGACTTTGTCCTCGTCAAAGTCGGAAAGCTCTCATACTTAGGCCTGGGGAGGTATGAGGGTTATCTCCTCTAGGACGGCGGACTCACCTGTGATCAGATCAGGATCCCTAACGTGCAGGTTATTACATAAATCATGGTTTCTCAAATTTAAAGCAATAATAAAACTCCAAAGGCATTTTGTTACATATGTGGACAATTCGATGTACCTAAAAATCGTAAATCAATTAATGGAAATTTAAAACAGATCTACAAAGATTGTTTTCATCCTGAGATAGCCAATTAGGATAAAAATTGAGTTCCACACAAAATTTGCAGCTCCTGTTACACAATGTTAACTCGTTCGAATCATACTAAGGAGGACAAACTAAAGTTTTTAAAACAAACTTTGTAGGAAAAACCATTAAATCAGAAAGATTGTTATTTTTGCAACACAAATGGACAAGGATATAATAACAAAAATAAAAAGAACATATTGTATGCCAACGTCCCAACTAAAGAAACCAGAAACTTCATGCAATCCACCTTCCTCTCCCAAAACCTTGCAAATTGACAGTTTAACTAAACACGTTCTAGATTTTATAAATAACGACATGAGAACCGATAATGATGACGATTATTACCTTCCATATGATGAACAGGAGAAAAAAATCCCACAAACGTTTAACTAACAATAAGAAGAACTTATCAATTTCATTAAAGATTTAAAATTACCCAAGGATTGTGCAGAACCCCAAGCATCAGTGTTAAAGAAGAAAAACTTATTATCAAGAGGCACGAATTATTGTTAGGTTTTTTCAAAAACTGTCGGAGAGAGAGAGGGTTGAATTTTTTTGAAAAATTTAAACAGTGAATATTTAAAGACTTGTAACTTTTAAACAAAAAAAAGGAAAAATATTTGTCCTATATGTTTTCGAAAGGTTTTTTCCTGCATTTTCAAAGGTGCAAAAAAATTTTTTAAAAATTCAAATTTTTACCTTTTTTTAAATTAAACTTTTTTTAAATTTTTTTCTAAGTTCGGTCCTTTTTACTTTTTTTATTTATTTTTTTTGAAAGCTAAAAATTTGTATTTTCGAAAAAAAAATATTGAGATGTCTTTTTTAGTTATTTTTGGGATAGTAGTTCATTAATAAATGTTAATAAAAAATTATACATTTAAAATTCTTTTTCTTACTCATTATCAACAATTTTATCAAAATATTTCAAATCTATCGTTTCATAAACCCCTAGAATATTTTTTACACCCGATTTTTACAAAGAGACGAAAATTTCAAACTTTCGTGCTCTGCTTTATATTGAAGGGGTGTTTGAATACCAACCCCCCTGGCTACGCTTCTGTTATATTGTTTATAGCTCAACCAAATTTTTGTTAAGTGAAGGTAAAATGTGTTGTTGATCAACCAACAGTTTTTTTTTGAAATTTTATTCTATTTTCTATCTTTTCATTTTATCATTTTTACTTATTTATTTATTAGCAATGGTACGTTGTCGAAGGTACAAAACATTGAATCCCAAATATGTAGAATAGGAAAAATGAGCGAATACGTCGAAGAAATTGAAGAAAACCAATTTATTTATAAAGTAGAGTTTAATCAAATAAGTGAATTGATTCTTACCTTAGTAAAAGTTAAAGTTGTTTGATTTATTAGTATAATTTTTTTTTCTCTTGTTCCCTTGCTGGACCGAACACTTATAAAAATGGCACGTAATTTCAATAGCGATGAGTACCTGACTGATGATGGTGCCGAGGAGGGGGAAACGGTCGCCGGTGGTCCCCCCGGAAACAATCCGGAGAATAGAGATAGAATTAGGCAGATTCTTAAGTTGCCAGATTTTTATCATAAAGAACCTAATGTTTGGTTTGCTGAGGTAGAATTACTCTTCGATTACACCGGTATTCGAACAGATAGAACCAAGGCTGGGGCAGTAATGGCCGCGTTGGATTTCGAGACAATAATGACAATCAGCGACATTATCACTCACGAAGTACCCCCTCCAGATTTATATAGACAAATAAAGCAACACCTTATTGCAAGTTTTTCGGTATCTTCGGAATCGCGTCTCAGACAACTATTAAAGGGCGAATTGTCCGGTGAAGGGAAACCTTCCTTAATCCTTAGTCGCATCCGAAACCTTAGTCAGGATAAATGTAGCGACGAGGTTATCAGAACGGTTTTTCTTGATCAATTACCAAGTAACTGCAGATCAGCATTAGCGTTGGTCGACGTAACGGACATAAATAAATTAGCCGAATTAGCCGATCGTTTCGTTGAGGAAGCCGGTCAGAATTCTTCTTGCACGTCCGCAGTCGTACAAAACACCAACGATGAATTGCTTCAAAGAATCGACGCATTGTCCGTCAAGGTCGATGCAATTTCCGCCCAGAATAGATTCCGTTCTAATCAACGCTCAGGATTTTATCAAAAATGAGATAGAAGCAAGTCAGAAAAAAGAAATTTCAGTAACGGAAATAACTCGAATTTTTAAAATAAAAATTTTAATAACAATAATTATGGCAGGAAAAATAATTTCAATGAAAAAGAGAACTCTTTATGCTTCTATCACAGAAAATTTGGCAATAATGCTCGTAAGTGTGTACCACCTTGCATCTTGCAACCAATTACCTCTTCTTTGGGAAACTGAGCAAGCCGCGTGTAGTTCATTTAACTGATAATATTATTTCTTCTAAACGTTTACATATTAATGATCGTATTTCAGGATTAACATTTTTGATAGATACCGGTTCGGATTTCTCCTTAATTCCTGCAAATTCACAAGATAAACTTACCCCCACCAACCATGTCATTTATGCTGCAAATAATTCGCAGATAAATACATTTGGTGAGCGCGTATTATCAATTGATTTGAGTCTTGGTCGTAATTTTCCATGGAATTTTTGCATAGCATCAGTGCCTTACCCCATTATCGGTGCCGATTTTCTGAACCACTTTGGATTATCGGTTGATATCAAAAATCGTAAACTCACAGATGCACATTCAGGCTGTGAAACTAAATGTAAAGTTAAAATCGCTTCTATAACAGATATTAGTTCAATTGACAAATCAAGTCGTTTTTATCAAATTTTATTAAATTATCCTGAAATTACGAACCTGGGAAATGACAAACAACCTTTCACTCATGGTATATTTCACCACATTGTAACAAATGGTCTTCCGGTTTCGCAGCGTCCACGTAGATTTCCTCCGGACAAGTTAGTTGCAGCAAAAGCACACTTTAAATCCATGATTGATTCTGGTAAATGTCGAGCCTCTAGTAGCTCTAACGCATCCCCTATTCACATGGTCCAGAAATCAGATGGTCAGTAGAGAGTTTGTGGGGACTACAGAATGTTGAATAGTGTTACCATCCCGGATAAGTTTCCAATACCATTTCTTCACGATTTTACTATGAACCTTCGTAATAAAAAAATCTTTTCGAAACTCGACTTACACGCGGCGTATCATCTAATTCCTGTATTCCCCGACGATGTACCTAAAACGGAGGTAACTACCCCCTTTGGACTGTTTGAGTTCCTGTGCATGACATTTGGTTTGCGGAATGCAGGACAAACATTCCAAAGGTACATGTTTAAGGCTCTAGGGGATTTGGATTTTGTTTTTGTTTATTTAGATGACATCCTGATAGCGTCCCGCGATATGAAGGAGCATGAGGATCATCTTAACATAGTGTTTAATAGATTAAAATTATACTCTTTAAGTCTTAACTTAGACGAACTTTGAACGCCTTTTTACATGACACACGCAAAAATGACAAGCGTGAAGTTAATTGGACACCTGATGCCGAAAAGGCCTTCGTCGTATTAAAGGAAGCTCTTGCTCAAGCTACTCTTCTGGCTTTTCTTTCCCCTGAAGCTCCCACACGTTTAGTAACGGAAGCTTCAGACTTAGGAATGGGAGCAACCTTAGAGCAATTTTTGGATGGTGCGTAGCGTCCTTTAGCTTTTTTCTCAAGAAAATTTAATACAGCGCAAACTAAGTATAGTGCGTATGATCGAGAGTTGACTGCAATTTATGAAGCCGTTAAATTCTTCCGTTACATTCTAGAAGGTCACGAATTTACAATCTGCACAGATCATAAACCTTTAGTTTATGCTCTACAGAAAAGCACAGAAAAACCTCCACCCAGACAACAAAGGCAACTTTCTTTTTTATCAGAATTTACAAACGTGATTGAGTATCTTCCAGGTGAGACTAATGTAGTGTCCGATTCCTTATCTCGCGCAGATGTGATTAGCTTCCCCACGGAAATTAATCTAAACGAGCTTTCACAAGCTCAAATCGTCGATGAGGAGTTTCCAGCAATTTCCAATAACAATACTACTTCTTTAAAATTGAAAAGATTCGACTGGAATAACACTTCATTAATTTGTGATGTGTCAGGTGATAATCTTCGTCCCTAAATTCCTTCTTCCATGCGAAGGCGAATGTTTAATCTTCTCCATAATACTGCTCATCCTGGGGGAAAGCTCACTACTCGATTAATACAAAAAAGATATGTTTGGCCTAGCATGAACAGGGACATAAAGGGGTGGTGTCAATCTTGTCTTCATTGCCAGCGATCAAAAGTCTGGAGACATAATATACTGCTTCCTTCTCAATTTGTTGCTCCGGATAGTCGTTTTCGACACGTTCATATGGACATCATCGGTCCATTACCGGAATGTGAAGGCTACAGGTATTGTCTCACATTGATAGACAGGTTTTCTCGTTGGCCTGAAGCCGTTCCACTAAAAAATATAGAGGCGATGACTGTTTGCCGTGCATTCTTCGACTGTTGGATCTCTCGTTTTGGTTCGCCTGAGACTCTCTCAACAAACCAGGGTAGCCAATTTGAGTCGAGATTGTTTTCTGCATTGTTAAAACTTTCTGGTTGCAATAGGATTCGAACGACACCTTATCACCCCGCAGCAAACGGATTGGTTGAACGCTGGCACCGCACGCTTAAGGCTGCAATTATGTGCCACAATAACCTTAAGTGGATTCATTCGCTTTCCACAGTCATGTTGGGACTTAGAAATAATGTTTTGGATTCGGGGGCATCGCCGGCCGAATACCTCTACGGTACCACCCTCAGAATACCGGGCGAATTTGTTATTCCGGAAGATTTTTCCGCGAATCGTCAAATCTTCATAGAAGAATTTCGGGAACATATGAAATTGGTTAAGCCAGTGCCGGTCGAGCACAGGCACAAGAGAAAGATTTTCTTTTTCAAAGATTTGTACTCTTGTTCCCACGTGTTTGTTAAAGTTGGTCCAATTAAAAAAGCTTTGGAATGTCCATACTTAGGTCCGTATAAGGTCATTAAACGTATATCGGACAGAGTTTTTGAGGTAGAGCTTAATGGTATCAATAAACAAATTTCGGTAGAGAATTTAAGCCCGCGTTTTTTGCTCTCAGTGACAGCGACAGTCCTATTGAGCTTTCAAGTGAAGAGCTTTTTGAATTGCCTTCTACTTCGAGTGGTGTTTCAGGTGCATCTAGTGTCCCTAATCAATCCAGCATTCCATTGAATGCGAAGTATTATTTAAATATGTGTGATAACCACATTTTTTTTATATATGTTTACGATCGATCGTCGTTATATCACATACATTATTTATTATATTATTATTTATATTATATTTGCTAAAAGATTATTTATTATTTAAAGAATTATTTAAACTTTATATAGACTTACTCGCACAATAATGAGATGCGAGATCGCAAGTTTCTCTCTCGCGAAGAAAACGGATAGAACATCCGGCGCGCGACGATTCTTCTGTCTCATGCGTAAAGAGAGAAGAAGTATGAGAGATCATGTGTAATTTCTATTAATTGTACAGTTGCGTACGGGACCACGCTTGAGTGACTACTTAATTCGTATATATATATATATTTTATTTCAATAAAGTAATATTTTAACATTATTAGTCCAGTCTTATTTTAATTATTGGGAACACGCATGAGGATATGGGAATCCTTCTGATGACATTTTACAATAAATATATTTAAATATTAACACTAAAATTCCATTCATTTTTTTGAGAATTTGAAATTGAATTAATTTTACAAAACCTACTGATGATTTTTTATCACTTACCAATATATTTTGTTCACTTACATATTCGATAAAATAGAAAATAAAATTAATTATTAATTTAATTGAATTAATCAAATAAAACTAGAATATTTATTACATTTAGTGAAAAAAAATGTGACGAAAAAAACATTTTTTGTTAAGAATAATAATAAAATTTGTGTTGTTTAATGACAAAAAAATATTAAGATGTCCTTTTTTGTTATTTTCGAGATATTAATTAATGAATTAATTAATGTTAATAAAAAATGAAATATTTCACAAATAAATTAAGTTATTGCAATTCTAAAAAGTTCTAATTCTAAGTTCTTTCAATTGAAAGTTTACGTAATTCCGCATCCAACGAGCTTTATATGGACTATTTTGAATTATAGGATTTTTTATAAACAATTACCATGTAAGCCAATTGTTTATTAATAATCCACTAAACCAAAGTACTTCATGTATAGTTCGTTAGATGCGGAATTTTGTAAACTTTCATTTAGTAAGGTCAGAGTTACGATACCTTTATACTTTTATAAAATATTTTTATTGTTACTAGAAAATCATTGAAATTTTACTTTTTAGTAAAAAAACGGGGTTAGAAAAAATTTCCGATGTTAGGAAACGATTGAAATAAAATATTCTAATCCTAAAATTGTCATGAAGTAGGACAAAAAATTATAACAATTTTTTTGTTATAAACAATAGTGAACAGCGTACGAAATTCTGAAATTTTCTTTTTTTCTGAAAAATCGGGACTAATAAAAATTCTAAGGTTTTAAGAAATGATATGAACTTAATATTTTGATACAAGTGGTGATCATGAGTAAAAAAATATGTACGAGAAGCAGGCTTAAAGTGCCTACATCATAAGGTTTCGTGGCTTTTAATGAGTCATTTTGAATAATAACTATCATTAAAAATAATCTTATGTCTTAAGTCAGTAGTCTCCTTTATAGACTTAAAAAAATCGATTTTTTTTGTCTTAAATCTCTTCCAAAACTATCGAAGAATATGTCTTTAAAATTTTAGAGGCCAATTCGACATATTTTGGAAGATAGAAGAGATTTTGTGACCGCCCGTCGAGCAGGTGTGAATGCTAGGGCAGACCCCATGGCGCGTGCGCTCTTCCCCTTCATGCGTTGTATTGTTTACCTAACCTTTCATATTTGTAGTTTCTATAAGGTCTGCGTTGAGTAGTCGTACACAATATAACGGTAAACTACAGCTCTCGGCATCGGCTTCTACACTGCTATTTGTCGCGTCAGTTTTCAGTTTTATTTCTGATTTTGCCGAGTGTACATCGAAATGTCAAGCTACCCGAAAGGTGATCTAAGTAAAAGACAGCGTTCCTCGAAACCGCGAAAGCGAAAATTTCACGGCAATCGTTTTACTAGTGCATCATCGGACGACGGAGACTTAAATACGAACCGCAGTGAACAAAAGTTAAAGACAGCAAGCAACGATGATATCATTATTCATTCAGCGCACTGATATCGCATAATTGATTTCATATCAGTGTTTTTTGCCATTTCGGAAATCGCAATTTGCAGACCATGTAACCAAAAATTAACTTTTGCAGAAAGCGGTCATCGTGGCCTCGGATTTAAAATTGTTGTCGTGTGTATGTGCGGTCGACGCGAAATTCAGTCAGGACCATTGATAAATACCGGCTACGAAATCAACAGACGATTTGTTTTTGTTATGAGGCTTCTTGGTGTCGGGCGAGAAGGGATAAACGTATCCTGCGGCCTTATGGATATGTCTGCAGGTTTTGCAAAATCTACATATCAAAAAATCGTTGAGCATTTGTACTCAGCGTCGAAGACAGTGTTCGAGACACCTGTGAAAAAGCTGTCAAGGAAGAAAAAAAAAACCTTGAACATGAAAGACCTGAGAATCATTTGAAGGTTTCGGGCGATTTATTGACGCGGTGTTTAGGCGGACACACACAAAACTCGAACGAAGCGTTTAATTCGCTTGTATGGCGCCTAAACCCAAAGCACGTGAATTCCGGCTCAAAAATTGAAGGAATCGCGGCAAATTTGGCTACAGGGATTTTTAATGAAGGGTATTCATCTGTGTTGACCATTATGCAAATGCTCGGTATTGTTATCGGACAGCAATGCAAAAATTTTGCCGATAATGTCGACGCGGAACGCATAAAGAGGGAAAACCGGCGCTCGTTATTTTCGAGCAAGGGGGCTAGGACAGCTCGACGAGAAGAAAATCTTCGACAAATTGAGTTCTTCGAGGAAGAGGAAGGACTACTATATGGGCCAGGAATAACTGATTAAAATTTAATTAGGATAACTATACAAAAAATTAGATTTTTTAAACCTAAAACTTTAAGGGATCATTCTGGTTTATAATTTTTAAAAAATCGTTTTTTTTACATTTTTCAAAAGTATATGTATCCAAAAGTATTGTGTAAAAATTGTAGAACAATCGGAACAGTCTAACTGTGTTAATAGCTATATTATTCTGTTACGGTATCTTCTCTCACTGAGAGCGCGGTATCGCGCACTCACTGAACGCGCGAGATCCGTACGTGGATAATCCATAATTTTCATTATGGATAGAAAATTTAAAAAAAATAGTAAAAATCGGCCGGGTAGACCAGCTAAAAAGAGAAAATTTTGTGGAAATCAATTTACTGACGAGTGTGAAAGTGTCTTTGGAAGTAAATCGGCTGAAAAATTGAAAAAATCGAAAGATACGACTGTTGATGTGCAAATCGACCAAACGTCTGGCTATAGTATTATAAATTTTTTTCTTGTCTTTTCCATGTTGTCGCGATATTTAAAGTGTAAAGATTGTAACAGAGAAGTGTCGTTCACTAAATATGGAGAGCGAGGATTAGGTTTCAAAGTGTGTTTGAGTTGTTTCTGCGGAGAAAAATTCATTGACTCGTGTTCAATGATTGGAACTGGTTATGAAGTGAATCGTCGCTTAGTATTTGTAATGCGTTTACTTGGAGTTCGCATTCATGGCATAGAAAAATTTTGTAACCTTATGGATTTAGGTAAAGGATTAAGTATATCTGCTTATTATGGAATTGTTGATAGCATCATCGTTGCCGTCGATACTGTTTTTGATTTGGTGTCGCATAAAGCTGTTACCGAAGAAAAAATCGAAAATAAGAAAAATGGACAACCAGAGGATATATTAACTGTTTCTGGTGATGGCTCGTGGGCCAAACGAGGTTTCTCTTCTCGAATAGGAATTGTTTCCCTAATCTTTAAACATACAGGAAAAATCGTGGATGTTGCAATAAGGTCAAGTTACTGCAAAGCATGCGAGTGGTGGAAAAGAAAAGAAAACGATGTGAACTATCCAGCCTGGCAGGAAAATCATCAAGAAGAATGTAGTGCAAATCATGAAGGCAGTGCTGGAAAGATGGAAGTGGACGGCATTGTTGAGATGTTTCTTCGATCGTTTGAAAAATTTGCTGTGAAGTATGGATTTTACATTGGTGACGGAGATTCTAAGACATTCAAAATGCTGCTCAATGTTTTCCCGTATGGTGAAAATTTTATTGTAAAAAAATTAGAATGTGTTTTACATGTTGCAAAACGGATTTTTAAGCGCGCTAATGAGGCAAGAAAAGCTCTTGTTCAAAAAAAGAAAGTCTTAAAGCAAGCAGAAAATAAAAAAAACCAGAGGAAATAACACCAGCAAAAAAACTACAGTAAAAAAGTTGTTGCCAAAAAAAAAGTTGTCATAAAAAAAGTTCCTGTAGTTAAAACTCAGCAGCTGACAATAAAGTTAATGAAAGAATTGTCGAATAATTACGGATTAGCTGTTCGAAGGAATCAAGATTCGATTGAAAAAATGCGAAATGAAATTTGGGCAGGATACTATCACAAAATTTCTACTGATGCCAATCCACAGCATTCATACTGTTCGGTCGACTGGTGCAAATATCGCAAAGCTAAGGCAGCTAGGACTCTTAAAAATTATAAACATCCTCCTGCTCTTGCTGAAGATGTCCAAGAAGTTTTGAAACCAATCTATGAAGATTTAACCAAAACGCAATTGCTCGAAAGGTGTTTAGGTGGACATACGCCAAATAACAATGAGAGTTTCAATAAATGTGTTTGGAGTATGTCACCTAAACACATATTTAATGGCATAAAAATAGTTACAATTGCGTGCAAAATATCAGCCTGCATTTTTAATGAAGGATTTGATCCAGTGCTAAAGATAATGGAAGTCATGGGCATCAAACTCGGACCGACCGCTGTTGATTTCGCTAGTAACCGCGACGACGACCGTGTGCGCTTAGCTAACCGCCGCAGCTCTGAATCTTCAAAAGAAGCCAGAACAAAGAGAAAGATAGCTAGAATGGAAGAAAATGAACTTTTCGAAGAGGCAGAAGGCATCTTGTATGGCGCAGGCATCGACGATTAAGTTAAGGTAAGATTTTTTCATGATTTTTCTAAAAAAAAC